CCAATCTTGCCTCGAATCCATTGGCAATGGCAGAACCAATCAAACCACCCGAGCTCGATAAGTGTGGTACTGCTACCAACTTGAACACTGGCGAAAAGCTAGATTACAATTGTTGCCCGCCTACAACACAACGAATCATTGATTACAAGCTCCCTCCTGTTCGTGTCATGCGTACTAGACCATCAGCCCATAGAGTCAGTCCTGAATATATTTTCAAGTATAATATGGCCATTGACCGCATGAAACGCCTTCCGGCAGATGATCCAAGAAATTTCATGCAACAAGNGTCCTGAATATTTTTTCAAGTATAATATGGCCATTGACCGCATGAAACGCCTTCCGGCTGACGATCCACGAAATTTCATGCATCAAGCTAATATTCATTGTGCTTATTGCAATGGTGCTTATGATCAACCTGGTCAGGGAACGTTGGACCTTCAAGTACACAACTCCTGGCTTTTCTTTCCTTTCCACAGGTGGTACCTGTATTTCTATGAAAGAATCTTGGGCAAACTGATTGGTGACCCAACTTTTGCTCTACCATTCTGGAACTGGGATAATCCTAAAGGCATGACAATGCCACCCATGTTTGTGGATTCTAAATCAGCTTTGTATGATGAGAAGCGTAACCAATCCAATTTGCCCCCTGCTGTCATCGACCTAGGCATGACTGGAAATACGGACCCTCTGCAGGTGGTGACCAACAACCTTACAATAATGTACTCTGAAATGATTCGTGGAAACAAGACTGCTGAGGACTTCATGGGCAAACCTTACAGAGAAGGAACTGAGCCCAATCCAGGCCCCGGTTCATCTGAGCGTGGTTCACACACTGCCGTGCATGTCTGGGTAGGAGACCCAAGACAACCCAGTTCAGAGAATTTGGGTAACTTCTACTCTGCTGGGAGAGACCCACTTTTCTATTGTCATCACGCAAATGTTGATCGAATGTGGACATTATGGCAATACTTTTTGCCAAGCAATAAAGTACCAGACAAGAAAATCACAGACCCAGATTTCTTAAACGCTGAATTATTGTTCTACGACGAAAATTCAAAGCTAGTACGCGTGACAGTGAAGGACTCCTTGGACAATCTGAGAATGTGATATGATNTGCATTTTTGTTCTACGACGAAAATTCACAGCTTGTACGCGTGACAGTGAAGGACTCCTTGGACAATCTGAGAATGGGATATGATTTTGAAAGAGTTGATCTTCCATGGCTGGATTACAGGCCACCCCCGCAGACTGCAAGAGCCAGATTGATTAAAACTACTTCTGATGCACCATTGGCAAGCACCGTATTCCCTGTCGTCTTGGACAAAATTATCCGAGTTCAGGTTCCTAAAGCGAAGAAGGGTAAAGCTGATGAACTGCTGGTGCTTGAAAACATTGAAGTTGACACTACAAAATTCCTTAAGGTTGATGTGTTTGTGAATGATGAAGATGATAACGTCAATGAATTGGACAAGGCGTCTTATGCAGGAACCTATGCGCAAGTGCCGCATAAAACTACTAAGAAGTCGAACAAGACTTCTATCAGGTTGAAACTCACCGATCTTTACGATGACATGGATATTGATGACGATGACACAATTCTGGTGACATTGGTGCCAAGACATCAAGGGGGTGGTATTACCATTGGTGGTATCAAGATCATTGAAGCTCCTGCAACAACATCGAGCTGAGGATTGCACTGCAATTATCTTGCGTTGTTCGTGTTTTCTCATGTACAAATAAGATTTTCATTGCATCTTGCCTGCAATGAAAATTCGCCATGTTCAGGTTGTTGATTTCCAGCCCCAGTGTGATTTTCTGTTTCTTTGATTTAATCGATGGTTCCACTTTGTCCCAATCGATTATCAGTATTGGTACTCCTCTAAATTCAGTGAAAATAAATTTTTAAAATTAAATCTCATTTATTTACTAGTGACAATAGTTAAACATGTATCTTCAAAATATCAAAATTAAACAGAGAAAGATTGCAAGCTTCATTAAAACTATATAGCAAAGTAGGTAAAGATCATTGTGGTCATAGTTGAATCAAATCTGCAA